AGTCTGCAGAGACCACAGCCACCCCTCCCACTAGGGGCTCAGGCCCAGGGAGGTCGTGAGCCCCTGGCTGGAGTTGTTTGAGTTCCTCTTGGGAGGCCCCACCTGGTGAGGAGAAATGGGTCAAGGTCAGGCCTGAAGAGGCACTCTGTCTGCAGTATGTCACAGCCAATGTGTTGGGCTGTGGGGGATACCTCTTGCGACCAAGTCATCCAGCCTTCCCAGCTCCAGCAGGGGAAAAGTGCAGACTGGAGCTATAGAGATGACTGCTGCCTTTCCCCACCCTGGGAGCTTAGTGTATTAGGAGACTATCAGTCCCAGTGTTGGCTGTCACCCCTCCCGCAAGGAGCTCAAACAGCTTAGGCAGCAGGCAGCTGCAGCTGTGGTGCTGGTCACCCCTCCCCATGGGAGCTTGGAAGGCTTAAGCAGATTCTATATCCGTGGCTATTGGGAATCTGCAGGGCTTCATGGTTGGGACCCTAGGCCCGGGTGGTGTGGGCTCACGAGTGGGATCTTCCGATCCATGGGTTCCACAGTTCCACAGAAAAAGCACGTTTTCCCACGCTGAGTAGCACGCTCACTCACCACCTCCCTTGGCTTGGGGATGGGGGCTCCCCTGCCTCATGTGGCTCTCAGGTGGGCCGCTGCACCACACTGCTCTTCCTTCCTCTCCGTGGGTCACACCAGCCACCTAGTCAGTTCTGATGGCAGAACATGGATACCTCAATTGCTAATGCAGAATTCGTGTGCTCTTATGGTTCTTTTTGATGGAGCTTCTGATCGCTGCTGCTTCTAGTTGGCCATCTTGGCTGGCCCCCTTGAAAATGCAACTTTTGAGGTTAGGTTTAGGAGGCTTTGCATTTTCTGATTTTGTTCTCTTGTAACACTTCCCTGAGTCAGTCATGAAAATAATCTTAATTCACCTACTGAAAGATGACAGGCCATGTGGAGAAAAACCATGCTATCCCAGCCAAAGAACAGAATCAGTGGCCAGAAAGGTCATCTTGTACCTGCCAGTCTAGTCAAATCTCCAGCTATAATGAATCACATGAGTGAATCCAGGAAAAATCTGTACAAGACTCTCCTAATTGACCCATAAAATGATTAGAATTTTTTTAAAATAATGATTGCTTTAATTCACTAAGCTTTGAAATGATTCATTACGTAGCAATGGATAACTACAAAACCCTTTATTAAGACTTTAGACATTGAAGACTGTGCCTGGTAGACCCTCTCAGACAAAAAGGACTTCTAATGATCTTTGCATTTTCACAGACAACAGAAGTAGATGGAGGCTTTACTTAAAAAAAAATTATGGATATGTTTTTTGAGGCATAGGGAAAGTCGCCTATCAGATTCATGGAAAATTCACAGAGCTTTTAAGAGAATTTTCATCAGTAAAAATACTGGCAGTTTGAATTAAAAAGGACAAAGATAGCTTGAAAACGGTTCAAATTTACTGTATTCAGAAAGCAGGCAATCAAAAAGCTTAACACCTGCAAACATGGGTCATTTGTTTTCTTTTTTTTTTAAGAAGTATATTGAGATACAATTCACATACCATACAATTCATGCATTTAAAGTATATAATACTGTGGCTTTTAGTATATTCATATATTTTGAATCTATCATCACAGTTTTAGAAAATTTTTTTACCTCAAAAAAATTACCGTTTAGCTATCATTTCCCACACTACCCACTAATCCTTCCCATCTCTACGCAATTATTAACCTACTTTCTATACCTATAGATGATGAAATCTATAGGTTGCTTATTCTGGACATTTTATATAAATAGGTCATAAAATACATGGCCTTTTGTGATTGGCATCTTCACTTAACATAATGTAATCAAGGTTCATTCATGTTATAGCATGTATAACTACTTGATTTCTTTTATGGGCAAATAATATTCTACTATATAAATATATCACATTTTGTTTATTCACTCATCAGTTGATATGCATGCGGGTTGATTTCAACTTTTAGCTTTTATGAGTATTGAATATTAGAGCTGTAAACATTTGTTTACATTTTGTGTTTTTATTTCTCTTGACTATATACATAGGTGGGAAATTTCTGAGTCTTAGGGTAAATATATGTCTTATCATTTGAGGAAACTGCCAGATTGTTTTCCAAAGTTCTTGCACTATTTTACATTTCCAGCAACAGTCTATGAGGATTCAAATTTCTCCACCTTCTTGTAAACTCATATTATTATCTGATGTTTTGATTCTAACTGTCCTTGGGGGTATTGTGGGTATACTACTTTATCTCATTGTGGTTTGGATTTGTATTTACTTGATGAGTAGTGATGCCATGCATCTTTTTATATATGTGTTGGCCATTTATTTATCTCTCTTGAAAGAATGTGTCTTTAAATTATTTATCACTGATAAAATTAGGTTATTTGTCTTTTTTTATTATTGATTTGAGGAGTTCCTTATATATTCTACATACAAATTCCTTATCAGATATATGTCTTGCAAGTATCTCTATAGTCTGTTGGTTGTCTTTTGACTTTCTTGATAATATTCTTTGAAGCACAAAAGTTTTTAATTTTGATAAAGCTCGATTGCTAGATTTTTATTTTGCTGCTTGTGCTTTTGGTGTCATATCTAAAAATCTATTATCACATCTAAGGTCATGAAAATTTACTCCTATATTTTCTTCTAAGTTTTTATAGTTTGAGTTCTTATATTTAGATCTTCAGTCCATTTTGAATTTTTCAAAAAGATATTGTAAAGTAAGAATTCAACTTAATTATTTTGCTTTTGGCTATTCAGTTTCCCCAGAACCATTTGTTTAAAAGACTACTTTCCCCCTTGAATGATCTTGGCACCTTCATCAAAAATCAGTTGTCCACAAACACCTGTAGACATGAATCTTACTGGAGTCATGAGGAAAAGTAGACAGGAAGACTTATCTAAGTCGTATGAAGCAGGATGTTTTCACTGAAGAAAGTCTTTCTCAGGAACACAAATGATGGAGGGATTTCTTAATCATCAGTGTCACTGTTTTCCAGGAACACAGAGCTCAGGTAAAGTTCCACAGTGTCAGGCTCTTCTTTTGTCCAAGATGCACAAATATAATAGATTGCTGAGCAAATAAAAGACAAATATAAACCTCCTGAGTGGGATGAAGCAGGATCTAATAAATAGTCTCTCCAGGGCTTTTGTTGGTGTTCCTCCTGCAAAATAAATTGAACCATCTGATGAGAAGTGTTAGAAAAGGTCAATTATTTTAGAATCCTGAAGTGCAAGTGTCTTAAACAAGCATTCCTGAAATGAAAAAGAGAAATGTTAATGTAAAAGATTGAATTAAAGCAAATAGCCAGGAGTCACACCCTGAGGGCGACAAGTCGAGTGGATTGAGTGGGTTGCAAGAGGTTGGTGAAAAAAAAATCTTTTGATACAAGCAGCACTGGTGTGAAATTACCAGCTAACCAGAGAGGTTACATATTTGGATTTCTATTTGTCTCTTTCAGATGGCAAGTATTTAGCCCATTGCCCTCAGAAAGTTGTTGAATTTAAAATTAGAATTACATAGTATCTGATCAATAGATTATAACAATGGAGTTTTTTTTCTAGGAAAGGTGGATATTAGTAAAGTCACAGACTGATTTGTTTAAGATCGTTTTTCCATGAAGGTGCAAGTAGAAAAACTGTCAACTATAATTTCTTATGGTCTTATTTGATAAGGCAAGAATTTCCCAGAGGCTTTTGTAATAGGATCAGGAGATGAATAAAATATCTAGCCATCAGTATGACTAAGAGCAGTGACTACTGTTTGGGATAAACTAGGAACAACATTAGGATCAGTATCTTGTGACCTAACAATTATAATAAAGAGGAAAGGTCTATTATGAGTAGATGACAAGCAATGGTCTATAGAAAATAAGAACAAAAATGATTATGAGCAAGTAGATAAACAAAACAGAAATTAGAAAGAGGTCTTGGTTCCAGCATCTTGAGCAGAATCTGTCCACTGTCTGAAATCATCTGCTTGTTCCAAAGGTGTTGGGTCAGTCATTGCTTTCAAAGATCAGCTTTATCTACAGGATCACCGAGCATCCTCATATTGAAGTCCCTGTTAGAGTAGTCTTCCAATTGTACAAAAATCTGAATCACCAAACATTGACTCACTACTGTTTTTGTTGTTGACAATACCTGACAAGGTCTCTTCCAATGAGAACAAGAGAAGTTTTCCTCTGATGCCTCTTCCAATAGATGAAGTATACTGTTCGAAGATCAGAAAAAAATGTACTTTAGGAAAACGTTCTGCAAGGGTATCCTTAATCCCTTAGACAGGACAGAGTATAGTACGTGAGCCGCTTACAATATTTTGCCATGCCACCATGCAGTAGGAAGTCTAGCAACAGACGTAAGATCCCTAAATGCATAGGCCTTCCGGTTACCAATTCATAGGGAGATAACCAATGTGCTCCTGAGTGAGTGGTCTGTATGGCCGTGAGAGCTAGGGGGAGTATCTTTGGCCTAGGGAGCTTAAAGGTTTTAAAAAGTTTTGTAATTTTAATTTTAAAATGTAGTTAGTCTATTCAACCTTCCTAGAAGATTGTGGGTGGTAAAGACAGTATTGTTTTTTGAGTAAGAAATATTGTTTTACAGAGTTCTTTTATAATGGTTTTTGTTAAGGGAGGGCTCAATCACTTGATACAAAATTTGGGCTGTCCCAGTTTGAAAACACAAAATCCAGCAGCTTTTTTGGTGTCTATAAGGATTATAGCTTTTTAGCAAGGACATGCTATAGCCTCTCCTGAAAATAGATATACAAAAACTAAAACAATTTAAATCTCACAGAGGTTGTAAACTGGATAAAATTCGTTTGAAGATATTCAGAGTGAGACATTGGGTCCTGGCCATGTTTAATCTTTATAATTTTTTCCAGGATTATGTTGCTGACAGGTGACACATAACCTGAAAATAGCCTCAGCTTCTTTTTAAAGTTTTCTCACTAATGGTGATTAAAAATACTAACCGATTTTTATATTCCATGATGAGTAGTTTCATGAAGAAATTTAGTTAATATCCACTTGAAATGATCTGGTGCCATAAGCAACCACCTTGAGCATTTCAGAGATTATATCAATGAAGAGTACAACTAGAATTTTTCCACTCTTCGTTTTCACAGTTTCACCAGAGATTTATCCTTTGAGGGTTTAGCTTGTTGAGCATAATGATCTGCTTGAGTATTTCCTTTAAGTGGTCTCTCTTTCCATAAGTTCCAACATTTATAGTCATCTCTGTAGGTAGTAGGAGTGCATGTAAAAGTTACTTCACTTATTGTCCATTTTTAGAAAGGTCCAAGCAGAGATAAGAAACCCCCTTGTCATGAAAGCATACCAAAGTCATGTACTACTCCAAAAGCATTATCTGCTATCTACCCACCTATCCATCTATTTATTTTCTCTCTGGAATTTAGCTAGTTGACAAACACTAGTAAGTGTAAGAAGTTCTGCAATATGGGATGATTTTAATTCTAGTAGAGGACTATATTCTAAAACCTATCTTCTTAAATTATTGATGGCACATCCTGTTTACTAACTTCTAGTTTCAGTTTTGAGATATGATTCACCAATTAAATCAGGTTTCCCAGGAGGATCTTTAATGTATCGGAGTGAGGCAAATAAAGTTCCCTAACCGAAATTAGACAATCATGATGTTGCACTTATTTCAGGTGGGGCAGGAGAGCAGTAGGACTCAGTGTGTCGGAGTGATAAATAGTAATGTGAGAGAAAGATAGAGTATTAGATGCTAGTAAATTGGCTAAAAAGTGTTACATATACTCAGTCAATAGTAATGTCTGTGCTGCATGAGGAACCATGAGGTCAAGCAGAGAGCCTAGAACTAGTTTAGCACAAGCATTGAAAAGTTTTGTAGCTGTTACCTGTTGTCTTAAGTCAAGAAGGATAAGCCACCACAGCTGAGTCAAAATTGAGGCTATGGTGATAAATAGGATTTTCATGAATCCCATGAAACTAAGCTAAAACCCTAAGGGCATGTCCATAACACTCATGCACAAATTAATGGAATGACTTTTTATATAATAGTTAGGGATGACTAAGGAAGGAGGCTGTTGAAGGGCTGTCTTCAGATTACAGAGCTCATGTTTGAGCTCCCACATCAGAGACTGGGATTTAGCCAATTTGTAAAGAGATATTGCAATCACAGAAAAAATTTGGTCCCCATTGTCTGCAATATCTAGTCATATCTAGAGGAGCTCTCTGTTGCCACCTTGAAAAGGGTCTAGAAAGAGTTTTGATAATCTAAAAGGAGATAATGCTTTTTCCTCCTTAAATGGGTCATGCCACAAATAATGGGCTGTGCTCTGGAAAATTTATAATATATCTTCGAAATATTATGTTATTTTTCTGCTAGGGCTGAGAGCAATTAAGTGGAATCCTTTTTATAGGTCTCCTTGTTTAGTGAACAAAGTAAGAGATCATCTACATATTGTATCAGAAGAGAATCACGAAAGAAATTTATGAATCATGTAAATTTGGATTGAGGATCTGGGGAAAATAGGAGGGGGCTTCAGTGAACCACTGAGGTATGAATGTCTAGGTATATTGTTGTTCTACCCAGAGGAAGGCAAAAGGGTATATCCTGATCTACAGTCTACAGGCACACTCAAGAAAGGCCAAACAAAGATCCACAACAGTGAAGCAAATGTTGTTAGGCAGAATGGATGACAAGATGGTAGTTGAGTTAGGAACTAAAACTCACTGGTCTCTGAAACTAGCACTAACAATAGTCTTAAAAGACCCATGCCAGTGTTCTACCCTGTGATTCTCCTTATGACAAACTACACTTTTAGGGAGCATAACACAAAAGAGTAACACAAATGAGGGCAAAAAAGGGATGAAAAGAAGGGCTTGGTTTTGCCCAAAATGCAAACAAATGGTAAGGAATAACAAAACCAGGGAATCAAACACAGAATAAATAGTCAAAGAACTCACCACAAAGAGAGTGGAGTTCAGACCTGGTGCTGACTCGACAACATCACTGTGGACTTGATAAGTGGCAAACAATAAGGCACAAGGGGTTCTGCCCCAGTTGAAGGCTAGGGTCTGTGGTGATAGGCAGAGCAGATCTTATCTTGATGGAATTTCAAAGAAAACTGTGAAATAAATAAAAATCACTCAAATGAGAACAAATGTTATTTATTCAGAGTTTGATAAACAAAAGAGTCACCAATCATTTATGTTTGGCAGAGACTAAAATGCAGGTAAAATGATAGGAAAGCTGTACAGTGGAAAAAGGGAAGGTATTAGGTATGCCTAATTGGAGGCTGTTGGCATGGGGAAATTAGAAACAGGCTAATTAGAAGTGGATCATCCTATGTGATTTGTTAGGAGTGCATATTTGGCTTCCTATGATTAGTTCTAAGTTAGAAATACAAGCAAAAGGGAATCTGGCAATTATTGACCAGGTCCTTACTGATGTTGAAGAGGTTGTGGTTGGGCTTCATAGACTGGTTGTTACAGAAGTTATAGTCAAAGTTGTATTTTTACGTATGGCTTGGCAATTGTATATTCACTTTCCCACCACTTACTGAGTTTTTGAAGACAAGATGTTGATCATATTAGTAATGATGTCCACAGTGTTGGTTACTTCTCCAATAAGGGCGTGCATGACCTGAGCATTTTGCCAAACTTTCTAAGCAGTCCAAAAAGTGGCTTATCCAAAGAGATAGTTGGACCATGAATGTTTAGCTGGAATGGTAATAAGTTCTTCTAGGCTTATAACAAATCCTCAGACTTGAACTTGCAGTGATTCTTCAAATCCTAGGGGATAAAGACCAGCAACAGGGCAACCTAGAGTCCTAATAAGTATCTAGGCAGTCAGATTTTAGTTCTCAGTGACTACAAGTTTAGAGGAAGAAATAAAAATAGAATCGTTTTTAAGGCTGTTAGTTTGTAGCCAGATGCTGAAGGAAACTGGAATAATTGAAAATTTAGTAAAGGTTGACAATCTGTGCCAGGTTAACAATCTGTGCAAGGTAAATACCAAGCAGAAGTTTCCACAATGATAGAGAAAGCTTGGCTACAAAGTTTGCATATTGATGAGTTACTAGCAGTTTACAAAGTGGCACTAAATAGCTCAAACACAAATTAACAGGATCAGAATCTGATAATCCAGAAGGATGTGCTGTGATTTCCCATGGAAACACAAATTTTCTTTCTACAGTTACTCCTCCTGTTTTGATCAAAGACAATCTCAAAGAAAGATTATTCTTGATCACAAATTAAAGTTGGTCTCATGAGATTCGGCCTGGTTATTTGCATAGGTGCAGCAAGAGTGGCAATTTACATATAGATCATATTATAGTTGCTTTGCTGGAAGTTTTCATAAAGAATGTCAAATTGGACTTTTCAAAGCCTCTTGAGGATAAGAAGCCAAGCCAACAACTCACATCAGATTACGCATGCAGTACCTATCGATTTGGCAGGCATTCCTTTCTTCATGAGATCCCACAAATATCCTAAGATTCCAGAGCCTGCTGGGAAGTGATATTCCTTGCTCACCTACAAAGCTGCGAACCCTGCAAAACCAGGTTTCAAGCCAGTTTTCACAAGAGGAGCTTTGTAAGCATCGGCCCCATAATGTCAACCTTAGTTCCTAAAAGTGTCTGGTCATATCTGATCAAATAAACGTCATTCTCAAATGTGACATCCAGGCAAAGCCTTGGTTGTATTACCAATGTTTTTGTGCCCTGTTAACAAAGAGGACAGACTCTTATGGAATCTATGCAAATAACCATATTGCCAGGAAGATTCAATGAGAGTTTCCAAATTGTGAATGGATGAGTCAGGGAAGAAAAGAAAGAAGTTTCATTTCTGTTTACAAGAAATTAGCATAGTTTATAAAATTGTTTGAGTGATAGCTTAAGAGAAAAAGAAAAGAAATTGTTATTTCCAGAAAATAGAACAATAAAACATCAACAATATTTCAAATAAAAATCATAACCATCTGCTCATTCAGTTCTATAAAATTAACTTTTCTTCCACCTGATCTTGTGTTACTTGTTTCATGAATGCATCCGCTTCTCAATTAGAAGTCTGCAACTCCTGACTCAGTCCAATGGTATGGTTTCATAGTCATTTGAAAAATGCCATCAGAAATCTGTTCCCCAGAGTGTATGGCATGATCCTTTTCCACCAGACTCTAAGATTGTTCTTTTTTGCTGAAGATAGAAAACCTTAGCCTATAATTGATTGCAAGGATTTTATGGAAACATCAGTGTAAAACAGAACAAACAAAACTATCAGTAAATGACAAAAGTCTAAAAATGGCTATCATGTACATATTATTGATAATTTTCTTTATTTATTTTATTATTATTATTTTTTTTTGAGACGGAATCTTGCTCTATCACCCAGGCTGGAGTGCAGTGGCGCGATCTCAGCTCACTGCAAGCTCCGCCTCCCGGGTTCACGCCATTCTCCTGCCTCAGCCTCCCGAGTAGCTGGGACTACAGGCGCCTGCCACCAGGCCCGGCTAAGTTTTTGTATTTTTAGTAGAGACGAGGTTTCACGGTGTTAGCCAGGATGGTCTCGATCTCCTGACCTCGTGATCCGCCCACCTCGGCTTCCCTAAGTGCTGGGATTACAGGCGTGAGCCACCGCGCCTGGCCTATTGATAATTTTCAAAAGTGAATAATCTGAATAGAGTTCATTATAAGAATAACACAATTGACAAACACATCTGGTTGTTTCTGTTGTACAAAATAAAATAAATTCAATCCAAAAAACATTTTAGACAAAATATCTATAAATACAATGTATTAGCAATATTTTCAAAGAGGTTATATCTAATTTATAAAAATGCTTATATATAACCTTACAAAGAAAACATTTTCATATATAACATAAAAATACTGAAACATTAGATGCCGCAAATACCTAGCACTTCATTAGAATTTACTAAAAATATATCAGTTATCAAGTAGAGTCAGTAAATCTGAAGTAGATTCTGAACATTAGAGTATTAATAAAAATGCAAAGATAAGTGAAGTGAATCCCCAGTGTAAAACTACCAGCCTAGCATATATTGGTTCCAAGTAAAAGAAGTAAAGTTTTAACCAAGTTACATTTTGAAAATATAATGAATTATGACTGATAACACTATACTGTTTTTATCTAACATCAAGCAAAGCAACACCAGGAGTCCGATAAATAGAAATATATCATGGACAGTGAAAACATTAACAATTCTGGGGTTTGTGTTGTCATCTCTTACAGCATTTCCTGTTTCCCTGGCAATCCTCAGAACTCAGACAGGAGGGTGGCCCCATCAGTGCATGTTGAAGGGCGAAGGCCTGGTACAGAGAATTATCCATTTCAAGCAGAAGGAAAATGGACAAGTTGTGGTGTTGGGACACATTACAGGATTGCCTGAAGGACAGCAGATTCCATGTTCATCAGTTTGCAAATAATATACAAGGCTGTACTAGTGCCGGTCCTCACTTTAATCCTCTATCTCCAAAACATGGTGGACCAAAGGATCAAGAGAGGCATGTTGAACACCTGGGCAATGTGACTGCTGGAAAAGATGGTGCGGCAATGTGTCTATTGAACATTCTGTGATCTCACTGTCAGGAGGCCACTCCATCATTGGCCACACAATGGTGGTCCATGAAAAACCAGATGACTTGGGCAAAGATGGGAATGAAGAAAGTACAAAGATGGGAAATGCTGGAAGTTATTTGGCTTGTGGTGTACTTGGGAATTCCCAGTAAACGTTCCCTTGGATGAGGTCTGAGTGCCAGTAACACATTTGTTATCCTGCTAGCTGTAGAAATGTAACTTGATAAACATTTAACACTGTAATCTTAAAAGTGTAAAGAAAAAAAAAAAAAAAAACACATTCACAATTCTCCAGAAACTTCTTATGTAGAATACAGTTTTAAACATGTTTATGGTAATAACATTTTACCCATACAAATTTAACCTGTGCAAATCTAAGCATCTCTTCTGATTGGACAATACTTCCTAGACATCTTATCAATGATAACATATCAAATCATCCTATTTCCAACTCTCATCTTTTCCCACAGTAAAAGAACACATCTTTGCAACTTTCAAAGATCCTCTGGGAAATCTCAAGGGCAATTTTGGGCACTGAGGAGGCTAGGAAGACTGTGCTTGATTGTTAGCTGAAACAACTTTTGGCTGTTTTGCACAGGACTAACAGGCCCTCTGCTTTATGTGAATTTCTCACTTTAACTTGTTTGCTCCATTTTGGGTGCAGACCACAAACCAACATTTCCTGTCTCAATTCTCCTATTCATATAATGTTTGAGGATGTTTGTTAAGTTTTAAGAATTCCCTCCCCTTCCCCCAGATTTAAGCAGGGTTTTGTTAATTTCCCCTCAACTTCCCACAGGTATCTTAAAAACTTTGCTCACTCATCCCTTCTCTGAATTAGGATTTGAGCATCTTTCTGTTATGCTGTTGCCCCACTCTTATTGCAATACTCCCCTTCTTCAGAAAGTTTTTCTAGACTAATGTCCAGATTAAGCTTCTTTTCTTTGACAATAATGATGCCACGACTTGGGCAAAATGCCCATTGCCCCTGGCTCCTGCTTTCTTCACCCAGTGCTGCCTTATTGGACTCCTTGTGCCTCTCCGTGACTGGGGAAATCAGGATCCACAGTGGTAAGTCATGATTTCTAATCCAGTGTTCCAGACATCTGTCTGTTGTAGCACAGTGAGAAGTTGACTTATATTTCTCTCATTTTTGTCATTTTCTTCTGTTTTTCTATCTTTCCCTTCTGCCTTTTTTGAGTGTGGTGAAAGCCCCTCATTCTCTCCTGAGAATCATAACTGAGTTGAAATCCCAAGGCCTCTAGCACTGGCAGGTGTCCCTTCCATTATCATGAGAAATCGTCAGTTTGGCTGTTGTTCTCCAGACCCCTCAACTGTGGGGTATACTTTGTGTTACTATGGTAATAATTCCACCCACTTTCTTCAGAAAAAAATTGTAATATTTTACAACTTAAATTTCAACAGCCTCTTTGGAGAATGTAGAATTTTTCTAAATTGTCTCATTCTGCAAATGGTTATTGAATCCTGCACCACCAAGATCTCATCGAAGCGATAGATGCTTTGTTGATGGTGGTGGGCATTTGGTACAAAGAGGCAGAAAAAAAAAATGCTCTCTCTCAAAAACTTTTCAGTGACCATTGCTTCTTTCAAAGACAGTCTTCCTTCCGCAACACCTCCTGTGACCTGTGTTTTCCATCACCTATCCCCCAATCTCTCTTTTCTACCATCTTCCATGTTCCCTTCAGCTCGCTTTAATTCTTGGATCTTCCTCTTTCAACCCTCTATCTCCTCCACCTTTCTGTCCACTCCTGCCAGACCTTTCCTCTCCCACTCTGGCCCCTCAATTCCTTATAATCACTTGAGCTTTAAGTCCTGTCCCTTCATAGGAGGCTCTAGAGGAGCCCGGGGCACTGAGAGCAACAGCCTGGGGCTAAAAGGGCTCACTGGAAACAGGCTGAATGTTTTAACCACTCAGGTGGACTCTGAAGACACCAGATGACTGCTTGGTCTCTCCTCTATGCCTCCCTTAAAATTGGGTCCACAACTTCCCTAGAATTATACACCAGAGCCAAGGGTAGCTTATGGGTCTCCTACACAAATATTGGGGAAGATGCTTCAGTTCTCATATTGAACACGTTACTTCAACTTGCCCATCTACCAAAAATATTACCCTTATAAAAATATAAAGGCGAGGCAATGATGATACTTTGTTTCTTTGTTTGTTTTTTGAGATGGAGTCTCGCTGTGTCACCAGGCTGGTGTACAGTGGCACGATCTCGGCTCACTGCAATCTCCACCTCCCAGGTTCAAGTGATTCTCCTGTCGCAGCCTCCAAAGTAGCTGGGATCACAAGTGCATGCCACCATACCCAGCTAATTTTTGTATTTTTAGTAGACAGTGTGTTTCACCATGTTGGCCAGGATGGTCTCGATCTTCTGACTTCATCATCTGACTGCCTTGGCCTCCCAAAGTGCTGAGATTACAGGCATGAGCCACTGTGCCCAGACAATACTCTGTTTTTTTGTATGAATCAGTGAGTTTTGCATTTCTGTGATTATGCCTAAGTCATGGCTAAAATTTAAAAATCAAAGCTGTAAGTTGGCTATGTCTGCCTATATGTTTATGTATGTGTGTTTCTGCATGTGCACATACATTTTGTTTGTGTAATATTTTCCTACCTCCAGATGGTATTACCACATTAAATTATAATACACCTTAAATAAGCTCGTTTTGGGTTGGCTTAGAGATGAATGAGAGCCTACATAAGTATTCTTGAACTTCCTTGAAATTAGGATAATCAAATTTCTAACATCGTCAGTGTGAAAAAAGTATTTTTATAAAAGTTTAACAAAATGTTAAAAAAAATACAAGTTCACCAAATTTAGATAAACCTTTGGCCATTGAGAGTAGTTTGATATAATTGATTTAATAAATAAAGATAGCTATGTCTTCTGAGTTGTCCACATTATAAAAATACATTTTTGTTCTACATGAGTATTTTTTTCCTAAACTTATACAAATATACTGAATCTCTGTGCTTGATAATCTAAATGCATTCTTGATATACTCTAACTGTATGTTTGATATATTCATGACATATTATGTCTCATGATTATCATGTATTTCTTTTATTTTTATTTTATTTTATTTTATTTTATTTTATTTTTTGAGATGGAGTCTCACTCTGTTGCCCAGGCTGGAGTGCAGTGGCACAATCTCACCTCACTGCAACCTCCACCTGCTAGGCTCAAGGGATTCTCCTGCCTCAGCCTCCCAAGTCGCTGGGACTACAGGCAACTGCCATCACACCCAGCTAATTTTTGTATTTTTAGTAGAGACGGGGTTTTACCATGTTGTCCAGGCTAATCTCCAATTCCTGACCTTGTGCTTGAGATCCACCTGCCTCGGCCTCCCAAAGTGCTGGGATTACAGGCATGAGCCACTGCGCCCAGTTGATCATGTTATATCTGAAAATGTTTTCTCTATAAAAATTATGCCCATCCACTTTCATAAATTTGATGTAATATCCACCCTTTTTAGAAAATAAAATTAATTATTATGTTTACACATATTTTCTCTGAAACTTTCTGTGGCAACTTTAAGTGCCATAATGACAATTAAATTTTTCTGCCAATTGTATTATTTTTATAGCAAACTTCATCAGATCTTTTACTTTCAAAAATTATCAAAAACATGTTAACCACGGCAATTTTAAGTCTTTTGTCATCTATGGAGGACTTAGTTTCAACCAAAAAGGACTGACTCAGAGATACATGGAAAAGGATTATGCTAGGTACTCTTGTGTAAAAGTTTCTAATTACGTTGTTTAAATAACTTTGGGACCAAAACAATGAACCGAGTCAGGAATTCTAGAACTCTAGTTGAAAAAGAGATGGGTTCATAAGACTACTAATCTGTGATCAAGTGGGACAAGAACTAATTACTTAGGAGTGAATGAACTGATGATGGATAATTATGGGACTTTTTTGGAATAGGGCTATTCCTTTAATGTACTATTTTCCTATTTTCTCTTTTATTTTTTTCTTTTCTTTCTTTCTTTTTTTTTTTTTTTTTTTTTTTTTTGAGACAGAGTTTTGCTCCTGTTGCCCAGGCTGGAGTATAATGGCATGGTCTCGGCTCACTGAAACCTCTGCCTCCCAGGTTCAAGCAATTCTCCTGTCTCAGCCTCCCGAGTAGCTGGGATTACAGGGGAGTGCCACTACACCCGGCTATTTTTGTATTTTTAGTAGAGGCAGGGTTTCACCATGTTGGCCAGGCTGGTCTCAATCTCTCGACCTCATGATCCACCCGCCTCGGCCTCCCGAAGTGCTGGGATAACAGATGTGAGCCACCACGCCTGGCCTAATATTCTATTTTCTGGACATAAGAAAACCCATCCTCTTTTTTTTAAAACTATTCATCACTCATAACAATTTCATAGACTATGCTAATTTCTAGTAAACAGAAATGAAACTTCTTTCTTTTCTTCCCTGACTCACCCTTTCAAAATCTGGAAATTCTCATTGAGTCTTCTTATTTTCATGGCAACATGGTTATTTGCATAGATTCCGTAAGAGTCTGTCCTCTTTGTTAACAGGGCACAAAAACATTGGTAATACAACCAAGGCTTTGCCTGGATGTCACATTTGAGAATGACGTTTATTTGATCAGATATGACCAGACACTTTTAGGAACTAAGGTTGACCTTATGGGGCCGATGCTTACAAAGCTCCTCTTGTGAAAACTGGCTTGAAACCTGGTTTTGCAGGGTTCGCAGCTTTGTAGGTGAGCAAGGAATATCACTTCCCAGCAGGCTCTGGAATCTTAGGATATTTGTGGGATCTCATGAAGAAAGGAATGCCTGCCAAATCGATAGGTACTGCATGCGTAATCTGATGTGAGTTGTTGGCTTGGCTTCTTATCCTCAAGAGGCTTTGAAAAGTCCAATTTGACATTCTTTATGAAAACTTCCAGCAAAGCAACTATAATATGATCTATATGTAAATTGCCACTCTTGCTGCACCTATGCAAATAACCAGGCCGAATCTCATGAGACCAACTTTAATTTGTGATCAAGAATAATCTTTCTTTGAGACTGTCTTTGATCAAAACAGGAGGAGTAACTGTAGAAAGAAAATTTGTGTTTCCATGGGAAATCACAGCACATCTTTCTGGATTATCAGATTCTGATCCTGTTAATTTGTGTTTGAGCTATTTAGTGCCACTTTGTAAACTGCAGGTAACTGATAGTTATGCAGACTCTCTCTTCTCTGGTAGAGATTTAACTGACTTTCTCTCACACTATGGAAAAATTAGTAGTTTTTGTAACTACTAATAAATTGTACTTGAATCTGTTATCTTGCCCAAATTGTGCACTTTTACTAAATTTTCAAATCTTCCAATTTTTCTCAATATCTAGTCATAAACCCCTAAAGTAACCTTCCAATGTTTCTCCTTTTGTATTACTTATAGTCACTGAGAAAACCTTACTATCCAGATCCCATTTGAGACCCTAGGTTGCCTTGTGGCTGGCCCCCAGGCTCTGAAGAATTACTGCAAGCTCAAGTCTGATGACTTGTTACAAACCTATGAAGATCCATCATTGCTAGCAGACTATGCATGGTTCTGTTTTTCTCTGGACAAGCCCTGACTGGACCACAAAAAAGGATGGGGAAATGCTCAGGTCATGCATTTTCTGATAGAAGAGGTAACCCAGACTCTGGGCAGCATTACCAAGAGCATCAAAACATTCAAAGATCAATGCTACATGATCAAAAGGGCTCATCCACTAACCTCTTGAAACCTTCTGGAATGGATACCCTTGGGTTCAACTTCTGTCTTTCTCACATTAAGATCTCCTTTTATATTAACATTTCTTTTTTTTCCTTTTAGGCATCCAACTTTTAAGATGCCTGATCTGAAGGACACTAAAACAACTGACCTTTGCCAGCATGCCAAACAGATGGTTTAACTAGTCCTCCAGGAACAACACTGAGCAATCCTGACCTGGGACTATTTAACTCTGCCATCTCCTACTTGAGATTCTCCTTGTCTCTCTATTCAAGGATACTTTTTCTGAGCCTTCCTTGAACAAGAGTGGAGGATTGATA